ATACCGTACTTCAATAATAGGAAGAAGTGTAAAACGTGGACGTAACACTGACAGAAAATTCATGCAGACTATTGTGGTCCGTTTCTCGGTAAATACTATGCACTTGTACTCATTGGTTCTGATTCTAAACACTGATTTTTTCCACAAATCCACGGAATTCTGACTTCACAATCCAAGCATTAAGAAAGGTGTTTAGTCGACAAATGAGTTCCTATGGTATTAGTGACCGATAATCATTCTCATTTTGCTGAGAATGCAGTAACTAACTGATTGAATAGTACAGATTGGAGACATCCGTCTATTGATCACAGGCTTCATTTTTTTGATACTCAGAAAAACTTGTGTTTCTAGGTTCTACGACCCTAAATAGTGTGATTTTCTGGTATATACAACCACGTCCAGGTCGAAAACCAGCCTGGTTTTCTCTAGTCTGTTCTTCACGAGCTTTGGTTAGGCGTCGAATTATTATTGAAGCTAATATTTTAGACACTATATTAGTCAAACTGATTCCTCTGTGATGGTCATAAGAGGACTTTTGTCCTTTCTTATAGACTGGCACAATCAGTGATTGAGACCAGTCAGATGGGATTACGTCCAGTTCGCAGATTCTACCTAAGACCTCAGTCAATCTCGCTGCTAATACTGGACCACCATCCTTAAAAATCTCAGGAGTAAACCTGTCAGGACCTGCTGCTCTCCCACGCTTCAGATTTCCCATAACTTTTTCAACCTCGTAAAGAGTCAGAGGACTTACATTACCTTGCCATTCAGGTAGATTGGAGATCGTGGGAAACCGAAGTGTGGCTGGAGGCCAGTTTAACCGATCCCTAAAGTGTTCTGCCCATCGATCCAATCTCCTGGATTGAGAATAAATAATATGTCCATCTTTCTCTGCGATTGTTTCGCTAACAGTTGGGTTCCTAATACCGGTTTCCTTAACAAGTTTCAACAGTTGCCTGCTGTCACCTATTGCCGCTGCCTTTTCCATCTTTCTTGCTTTCGCTACCCACCACTGTTCATGATCATTACGTAGGCTTCTAGTCAGCTTACGCTTAAGCTGACTGCGCACTTCGTTATGTTCAGAGCCAGATGGGATGACTTTTCGAGCATCTATCAGTTAGTAAGAGGTATTGGAAGGATTTGAATGTGACCAACTTGGTCTCGTGTGCTCTTACAGGTGACTAGTATTACTACTAGCCGATATTCAAAAAGGTGTGGCTCAAAATAGATCAAATAAACCTAATATTTTTTGAGTTATTATAAAAGCTAAACACCACACATGGTTGATTATGAAGTAAAATCAAAAACTACTACCAAACTATGGATATAAAGAAGGAAATATGAGAACAGATAAATAAAACAGAGTTATTAGGAGGTGTAGGAAGGATTTGAATGTGACCAACTTGGTCTCGTGTGCTGTTACGGGTATGAGGACTGATGTCACTTCCCGGCTGCCTACACTGTGGAAGGGTATTTCTTGAGGAATCTGAAAAGGAAATCGGATTAGTGTTGGTCTTGAAGACCTGGGAGCGTGACCGCAGAGTCCAAGGGACAACTGCTTGAGGCCGGTCGCGCACGACCTTTTTTGTGGAAGGTTTTTAATGTGTTAGCTCCGTTCTTCAAGGGGCCTTACCGCCGGAGACGGAAATCCGTGGGGTAAGGTGAGGTGTGACATTTTTAGGATCAACCTTTTCTAACCCCTTCCTTCCTTGTGAGAAGACAGCATCGCTGCAGATGCTGGTTGTCCGAGGGAAACATCTTACTGCTGTCACACATCCGTACAGTCAGCAGTACGACTTCGCTCTTAGACCTTGAGTTGCTGCTTTTAATCTTACCGTACTCCAACCGACCTACCTGGCATGGTAGAACCTGCAGGAACATATGTTCTAGCCAATATAGCTCGGTTGGGTCATCACGATAGGCAAGCCCGAACATCACGTCAAGGTAGCAGCTACGGTCGGGAAGAAGAGCATTAGAGATGACAGGCAGAAATATGTGGAAGACTTAACAACGACAGCGGAAAAGGCTTCAACAAGATGATATGTGAGAAAACTACATGGCACAACGAAGAAAATAGCAAGGAAATATAGTAAACCCTAGAGACCGGTTAAGGACGAAGAAGGCGAGCCCATCGCTGAAACTCAAGGACAGAGGAACAGATAGATGGAACACGTCGAGCAACTCTTGAATGAACTAGCCCCATTGGATCCATCGGACATCGATGCATTACCTACAGACCTTTCTGTAGATGTCACTCCACCAACGACCGAAGAAATCAGGATGGCCATCAGACAAACCAACGGTAGGAAAGCAGCAGGATCTGAAAATATACCAGCTGAAGCATTAAAGTTAGACAGAAAAGTAACTGTAAAGATGCTCCACGTTCTATTCAGGAAGATTTGAGAAGAACACGTGCCATCGACAGACTAGAAAGAGGGATATATCATCAAGATTCCAAAGAAAGGAGATCTAAACAAATGTGAGAACTACAGAGCATCACACTACTGTCAGTACCAAGGAAGGTTTTCAACAAAGTGTTGATGAATTCGATGGAAGATTCAGTAGACAACCAGCTTTAAAATCAACAGGCTGAATTCAGTAAGGATCGGTCGAGCACAAACCAGCTGAGACACTACGGTTCATCGTTGAACGATAGATTGAATGGAACTCGACACTATACATCAACTACCTCGACTATGAGGTGTTTGACAGTATGGATATGAGGATCATATGGAGCCCTCTTCGATACTATGGTGTAATTGACAAGATCGCTACTATATTACGGGATTCTTACGACAGACTACACTGCAAAGTCGTGAATGCAGAACGGCTGGTAAATGCATTCCCAGTGATGACCGGTGTTAGACAAGGCTGCTTATTCTCCCCTTTCCTCTTTATTCTGGTGGCAGGCTAGATTAAGAAGACCTCCACATCCCAGGAAAAGCACAGCATACAATGGACAGCTTGCACATAAATAGACGATTTAGCCTTCACAGTACACTTAGCTCTTCTATCCCATACACATCAGCAAATAATGCAAGTGATCATGGTATAGGTGCCGTCATAGATCAGTCTGATAGAGTGGCGGAACATGCGTGTAGTGTCCGTACACCCACTGAACAGAAGTATTCAGTTGTCGAAAAGGTGTGTCTAGCGATTGTTTGGGCAGTAGACAAATTAAGACCATACCTACTTGGTAGGCGATTTCACATTGAGACTGGTCATAAACCCCTAGAGTGGTTGAAAACAGCCAAAACCCCGATGGGAAGTCGGCATGATGGATAGTACGTCTTCAGGAGTACGATTTCAATATCGGGCATGATCTAGGAAAGAAAAATGTAGTAACGAGCTACTTATTAGGGCCGGACATGGAAGTTGAACTCTCACTGACTGCATATGCAGTGAATAACTTAGGGAGAAACCCACTGGGAGCTTTTGTAGCCTGGGATCTGACTCCAGTACTAGCGTACGTATGGTCGTTATTGTTAATATACATATCGTCAATCCTCGTATACAATTATCGACTTAATCCGCATTAGTGAACAATGGAATTAAATAAGTCAAATACGAGAATGAATTTTGGAACACATATATTTCGTACACTCGTCGATTGGAACAGACAATCAGAGAATCGCAAATAATGAAGCGGAGAAGAGAGAGCGAAGTGAAACAAAAGGACGCTCAGTGGAGAAGGCGTGTTAGCCAACTCCATTCAACCAAGCTTTAATCAATATTTATGGCCACACACAAATAAGCTACAGGCATGTGATGAGTAGGATAAGATGTAAACACACATACGCTCATATAAAACAGTCAGGGTTGATAAGTGAATAACTAACAAGGTGGAAACGTGACTCAAAAAGAGTAAATAGAGTGGTCTGTCCGAAATCTGGAATAAGCTGTGTGGGCTTAACATAGTAACTGACACTACGACATTCCCTGGCAGCATATGACTGACCCTAACCTTCGAGAAGTAACTAGAGTGATTAAAGAAGGAGCAGACGCTGACAAACGAGTGATAAATGCCGATCAACTGCGAAAGCGGTTTAAATGGCATCATGAGGGCGTCACAAACAGCGACAGCGAAGATAGCTATGAGAGGGTCGGGACAACTATGAGAACAGTTTATTAATGACGGGAAATTATTGTGTACGCTACTTATGTCAGTGGACATAAGACCTAGCAACGGAAGACTAAGTAGATCAAACTGAAGACAACAGAAAGGAAAACATAAAGGAATCGAGGATCGGAGAAATCATGAACGACGCATAGGAAAATTGACGGAAGTTTTGTGGATGAAACATATAAAGTATGGTTATTACATTTTACGAAAAAACTGTAATTCTGCAACAAACAATAAATAGGTCTTTTTCACTTGAATTCTGGACCACTTCGGCGAAAGTAAATATAACTGTGGCTATGAAAAGTTGTGCATCAAAGGCACGGTTAGTTAAAATAATGATACTAATATTACAAACGACATTGACACATGTCATTCAGTCCCTAACTATTGTTGACGATAATCTAACGTTGGTTAACTCGATTTCAAAGACCTATACATCTCAGGAAAAGCACCGAATACAATGGACAGCTTGCATATAAATAGACGATTTAGACTCCACAGTACACCAAGCTATTCTATCCCATACACATCAACAAAGGCAGGTCAAGACAGACAATGTAGCAGCAGCCTCTATATCAGTAGGCCTCAACATACACAAGGAAAAAAGCAAGATCCTCAAATACAACACAGTGAATACCAGTAACAGCTTAGGTTGATTGGTTAGGAGTTGACCTCCAACAACTAAGCATATGTCAAAACAGCATAGCTAAATTATCCATTCACTTCCTTATTTTGTATAGGCGTTGTATTTCTAATTATCTTATACCGAATGTTGAGAGGCTTAGTTTATCTAAACATGGATCTTATACTCCACTGTAACCGTGCGAAGTTCAAAATAATGACCTGTAACTCGTGTATTCAGCAGTCACTGGAGCGAGCGGGATGATCTAAAACCACAAACACACAATGTTAACTGAGCACTTCACAACACAGGGAGAACACGGAATGGAACCACCAGTGATTTATTTTTAAAAATTAAAATCCGCGGGGATGTACAGAAAAAGGAGGTTTAGTTTACCAAACAGTCTTATGCGTCATTCTGCAGGCTCAGTGCATGCAAGGCTTGTTCTTCCTCTTCTAAAGCATTTACTCTCGATCGTCCTGCAATAGAAGGAAAACAGAATCCATTAACACAATATACATAATGATTTTGACACTGTTACAGACCTGTAACGAAGCTATAATTATCATGGTGATGTTGCTAACCTGTTCTGTTTTCTTTCTATTTCAGGGCGACCAAACATAAACGCCTTGGAAGCTGAGGAACAAGCCCTGAGTGCTCTGAACTTACACGATGACTTATAAGACTTTGGTACACTAACCCCCCTTCTCCTGTAAGAACCCCGCGAAAAATTTAATTTGAAAAATAAAGAGTGCTGTGACCGTACTTCGTGTTCTCTCTTGGTGTGAAGTGTTGAGCTAACCCGGTGTGTTGCAATTTTAGATCTGATCCGTTGTTCATTAACTGCTGATTACCCGTGCTACATTTTTGGTGATAGAGGTTCCTATTGAAAAACTCAAATCAAAACCAGAGGAACCCCCGGTGCTGCCAGTTAAGGCAACAACTACCGCAAGTCCTCGCCAGCCACCACCTTTGGAAACGTCGTCAGATTATGCTGTCTGGAAATTTAGAGTACAAGCATATTTGCGCAAGGTACCCGCTTTCGAACATTTCGACTACATTGTATCGTTCCTCAGTGACGAGGCTGTTAAACGAGCAACAGCTTATGGGTTCTCAACAAATAATTCTCGATCTAAAAACTGGAATATACTAGATGAGTGTTTCTCATTACCTGTGGACAATCAACAGCTGACTATCCAATTTTTGTCACGTCAGCAATCGGCCGGTGAAAACCCTATCGAATACTTGGATCCCTTACAACAAATTGCGGTAAAAGCGTTCCATGAACTGGATGTCGACAAAAGAGACGATTTGGTAAGCTCCCGTTTCGTAGAAGGGCTCGTGCACAACCCCCTAAGAGAACAACTACTTCGAATGCCAGCAGCAAATACCACCCAACTGAAGAAGACCGTCCTCAGATTTATGACAGCAGATAGATTGTCCCGCCCACCAGAAGCTCCACCACATTCACTGATGACAGTAGGGCATAATATAGAACCGAGGCAGGTAGATAATCTTCCGAAAGCAACAGCGATTTCACACATTCCCAGCCAGACTATTAGCCGTGGGGCATCAAACTCGACATGGAACAAACGACCACCATATAATAGTTACCACAGTCGTCAACCAAGATGTATGTATTGCAGGCGGTTTGGCAGGCGTGCCTGGAGATGTGGACACAACCGACCTCGTAATCCAGGTGAGCCACATATTTATCACTTATCTTCATGTCATGTTAATCACATCAGCCCCACCACCCTCAAAGGTAGAGTACAAGGTGTGGAGATTGACATATTGCTAGACACTGGAGCCTCCGTATCCCTGATTAAGGAAGCGTTCTTAAAGAGACTACACCATAAAGTACAGCAAAAACGATGCTCCTCAGCATTAATAACAGCTAGTGGGGACCCTCTTAAAGTGTGTTATAAGACAGAGTTAGACTTAACAATGGAGAGATGTTCGGTTCGCCATGAGTTTTTAGTTTGCCCTACATTAACCTGGGACATGATATTGGGCGTAGATTTTATGTTAAAACACCAAGTATCTATATTTATGGATAGATCAGAAGCGAAAATCGGCGAGGCTATAGTGCACCTGCACCACCATGAGAGGACGACAAAATCTATAGCCCTTGTGGGGATTTCAGACCTCGTACGTCAGATACATAACAATCAAGTAATCACAGAGAATGATCGTCGCACAACGATTGCCGTGCTCCAGCAGTTTAGTTCTGTGTTTGAAGAAGGCATTTCCGGAAATCGGACCACTACAGTGCAACACTCCATCTTCACAGGCGACCATATGCCACTTCGACAGCCACCTCGTAAGGTACCAGTGCACTACCAACCGCAACTGGACGCAATGATAAAAGATATGCTAGATAAAAAGATCATAGTTCCTTCGTCATCTCCATGGGCATCACCTATTGTCTTAGTGAAAAAGAAAGACTCCTCTCTACGACTCTGCGTGGACTATCGACGCCTTAATGCTATCACTAAACGTGACCCTTTTCCACTCCCACGGATCGATACCACGCTAGATGCCTTGAAGGGCGCACGTTGGTTTTCGACTTTGGATCTAGCATCTGGGTATTGGCAAGTAGAGGTCCGACCGCAAGATAGAAAAAAAACGGCATTTATAGTACCAAATGGTCTATATGAATTCCAAGTGATGCCCTTTGGTTTAACGAATGCCCCGGCTACCTTCCAAAGACTAATGCAAGCAGTGTTACAAGACATAGTACCCAACAAATGCCTGATATATCTTGATGACATTATTGTGTATGGTAGCACGCCCGAACAACACAATACCAATTTGAAAGCAGTCCTTCAACGCCTTCAACAACACAATTTAAAAGTAAAACCGTCCAAATGTCGCCTGCTGCAGAAAGAAGTAATCTTCCTGGGACACCGTATCACTGCAGGTGGGGTAGGCACAGATAAAGAAAAGACACGTGTGATTGTTAATTGGCCGCAACTACAATCACCCAAAGACGTTCGTAGCTTCCTTGGGTTAGCTTCTTATTATAGACGCTTTGTTCGCGACTTTGCATCATTAGCAACACCTTTGCATCGATTAACACACAAGGGACGAAAATTCTTAAGGACTAGCGAGTGTCAACAAGCGTTCGATGCTTTGAAAGCACGATTAACCTCCCCACCTATATTAGCCTTTCCGGATACTTCAGCAGACGGGGGTGAATTTATACTCGATACGGATGCTAGTTCCTCGGCCATTGGAGCAGTTCTATCGCAAGTAGATCGAGATGGACACGAAAGAGTCATCGCGTATGCTAGCCGACGATTAGATAAGAGTGAAGCACGGTATTCTACAACACGTTGAGAGATGTTAGCACTAGTAAAATTCTTACAACACTTTCGCCATTATTTACTGGGCAAACCCTTTCGTGTACGCACGGATCACCGTGCATTACAGTGGCTCCGCTCTTTCCGCGAACCAGAAGGGCAAGTAGCACGCTGGCAAGAACGGCTACAAGAGTTTAACTTCACATGCGAGTATCGACCTGGAAACCGACATACAAACGCGGATGCCCTTTCCCGAATACCCCAGACCACAAATAATGTTAACACAATTCTGAGTACAGCGCTAGAGACTGATTGGCCCTCCCTACAAGCAACAGATCCAGACCTGCAGATTATTTACCAAAGACAGTTACACGGGAACAATAAGCCATCCTGGAAGGAGTTAAAAGATCAAACCCTAACAACGCGTCGTATTTGCACCAAATGGAGTAACCTAAAACTATATGGGGACACGTTATTTCTAATTAATGAATCGAAACAACCCCTGCTGATAGTACCGCGAGTCAAAGTCGAGAGCATTGTGGAGCAGGTACATCGCGAACTTGGTCATACGGGAGAACGAAGGACGGAACACGCTGTCCGTCAACGATTTTGGTGGCCATCTATACATGAAGATGTAGCGCGATTTTGCAAGAATTGTAACACGTGTTGCCGTTTTAAATCACCTCAGCAGACACCCCGTGCACCAATGACACCGATGGTGACAACAGGACCACATCAGAGGGTCGGCATAGATATCATGGGACCATTGACAACGACAAAGAACGGGAATCGCTACATACTAGTTATGGTGGATTGTTTCACTAAATAGTGTGAAGCAGTACCCACTCCACAGCAAGACGCCCTTACTGTCGCCCGAGCTTTTATCGATCATTGGGTCTCTCGTTATGGTGCACCAGTCTCACTTCATTTCGATCAAGGTCCAGCCTTTGAAAGTCAACTCATCGCTGAGATATGCCGGCTATTGAGAATCAGGAAGACACGCACTACTGCGTATCACCCAGAGGGTAACGGCCTCGTGGAAAGAACGAACAGGACTATTAAAGCCATCTTACAGTCGTTTGTCAGCAGATCGTCACCTGAGTTATGGGATAATGTGCTCCCTCAATGCCTTTTAGCGTATCGTACGTCGGTACACGGTTCCACGGGATTCTCACCTGCTATGTTACTGTTCGGGCACGAATTACGCTTACCAGTAGAGATACAGTCGCCCCTATTACCTTACGAGGAACAAGAGCATGTACCGTACATACGTACTCTCCGCAACCGCTTAGCTGATGCATACCGTCTGGTCAGTATCAACTCGCGTAAGGCTAGCGAACACCAAAAAGGGCGTGGGTTCGAATCCCACCTCCATCACCAGTTGTAACTAGTGTATTCAGCAGTCACTGGAGCGAGCGGGATGATCTAAAACCACAAACACACAATGTTAACTGAGCACTTCACAACACAGGGAGAACACGGAATGGAACCACCAGTGATTTATTTTTAAAAATTAAAATCCGCGGGGATGTACAGAAAAAGGAGGTTTAGTTTACCAAACAGTCTTATGCGTCATTCTGCAGGCTCAGTGCATGCAAGGCTTGTTCTTCCTCTTCTAAAGCATTTACTCTCGATCGTCCTGCAATAGAAGGAAAACAGAATCCATTAACACAATATACATAATGATTTTGACACTGTTACAGACCTGTAACGAAGCTATAATTATCATGGTGATGTTGCTAACCTGTTCTGTTTTCTTTCTATTTCAGGGCGACCAAACATAAACGCCTTGGAAGCTGAGGAACAAGCCCTGAGTGCTCTGAACTTACACGATGACTTATAAGACTTTGGTACACTAACCCCCCTTCTCCTGTAAGAACCCCCGCGAAAAATTTAATTTGAAAAATAAAGAGTGCTGTGACCGTACTTCGTGTTCTCTCTTGGTGTGAAGTGTTGAGCTAACCCGGTGTGTTGCAATTTTAGATCTGATCCGTTGTTCATTAACTGCTGATTACCCGTGCTACATTTTTGGTGATAGAGGTTCCTATTGAAAAACTCAAATCAAAACCAGAGGAACCCCCGGTGCTGCCAGTCAAGGCAACAACCACCGCAAGTCCTCGACAACCGCCACTGTTGGAAACGTCGTCAGATTATGCTGTCTGGAAATTTAGAGTAGAAGCATATCTACGCAAGGTACCCGTTTTCGAACACTTCAACTACATTGTATCGTTCCTCAGTGACGAGGCTGTAAAAAGATCAACAGCTTATGGATTCTCAACAAATAATTCTCTTTCTAAAAACTGGAATATACTAGATGATTGTTTCTCATTACCTGTGGACAATCAACAGCTGTCTATCCAATTTTTGTCACGTTAGCAAGAAGCCGGTGAAAACCCTATCGAATACTTGGATTCCTTACAACGAATTGCGGTCAAAGCATTCCGTGAACTGGATGTCGGAAAAAGAGACGAGTTGGTACGCTCCCGCTTCGTCGAAGGGCTCGTGCACAACCCCCTAAGAGAACAACTACTTCGAATGCCAGCAGCAAATACCACCGAACTGAAGAAGACCGTCCTCAGATTTATGACAGCAGATAGATTGTCCCGCCCACCAGAAGCTCCACAACATTCACTGATGACAGTAGGGCATAACATAGAACCGGGACAGGTAGGTAACCATCCGAAAGCAACAGCGATCTCACACACTCCCAGCCAGACTATTAGCCGTGGGGCATCAAACTCGACATGGAACAAATGACCACCATATAATAGTTACCACAGTAGTCAACCAAGATGTATGTATTGCAGGCGGTTTGGCAGGCGTGCCAGGAAATGTGGACACAATCGCATAGAAAATAGAGGTAAGCGGCGTTTTTGCTATTTATCTTCTTATGTTAATCATGTCAACCCAAGTACGTTTAAGGGTAGAGTACAGAACACTGAGTTAGAAATACTGTTAGACACGGGAGCGTCAGTATCCGTCATTAAGGAGGAAGTCTTGAAGAAACTTAATCATAAACCTCGACAAAATCGATGTTTTTCTACGTTACTTACAGCAAGTGGGGATCCGTTGAAAGTATGTTCTAAGGTGTGGTTAGACCTTACGATAGAAAAACATCAGTTTCAGCATGAGTTCTTAGTTTGTCCAACATTAACTTGGGACATGAATTTAGGCGTTGACTTCATGTTGAAACATCAAGCCTCTATATTTCTGGATAGATCAGAAGCAAAAATCGGCGAGGCTATAGTGCACCTGCACCACCATGAGAGGACGACAAAATCTATAGCCCTTGTGGGGATTTCAGACCTCGTACGTCAGATACATAACAATCAAGTAATCACAGAGAATGATCGTCGCACAACGATTGCCGTGCTCCAGCAGTTTAGTTCTGTGTTTGAAGAAGGCATTTCCGGAAATCGGACCACTACAGTGCAACACTCCATCTTCACAGGCGACCATATGCCACTTCGACAGCCACCTCGTAAGGTACCAGTGCACTACCAACCGCAACTGGACGCAATGATAAAAGATATGCTAGATAAAAAGATCATAGTTCCTTCGTCATCTCCATGGGCATCACCTATTGTCTTAGTGAAAAAGAAAGACTCCTCTCTACGACTCTGCGTGGACTATCGACGCCTTAATGCTATCACTAAACGTGACCCTTTTCCACTCCCACGGATCGATACCACGCTAGATGCCTTGAAGGGCGCACGTTGGTTTTCGACTTTGGATCTAGCATCTGGGTATTGGCAAGTAGAGGTCCGACCGCAAGATAGAAAAAAAACGGCATTTATAGTACCAAATGGTCTATATGAATTCCAAGTGATGCCCTTTGGTTTAACGAATGCCCCGGCTACCTTCCAAAGACTAATGCAAGCAGTGTTACAAGACATAGTACCCAACAAATGCCTGATATATCTTGATGACATTATTGTGTATGGTAGCACGCCCGAACAACACAATACCAATTTGAAAGCAGTCCTTCAACGCCTTCAACAACACAATTTAAAAGTAAAACCGTCCAAATGTCGCCTGCTGCAGAAAGAAGTAATCTTCCTGGGACACCGTATCACTGCAGATGGGGTAGGCACAGATAAAGAAAAGACACGTGTGATTGTTAATTGGCCGCAACCACAATCACCCGAAGACGTTCGTAGCTTCCTTGGGCTAGCTTCTTATTATAGACGCTTTGTTCGCGACTTTGCATCATTAGCAACACCTTTGCATCGATTAACACACAAGGGACGAAAATTCTTATGGACTAGCGAGTGTCAACAAGCGTTCGTTGCTTTGAAAGCACGATTAACCTCCTCACCTATATTAGCCTTTCCGGATACTTCAGCAGACGGGGGTGAATTTATGCTCGATACGGATGCTAGTTCCTCGGCCATTGAAGCAGTTCTATCGCAAGTAGATAGAGATGGACACGAAAGAGTCATCGCGTATGCTAGTCGACGATTAGATAAGAGTGAAGCACGGTATTCTACAACACGTCAAGAGATGTTAGCACTAGTAAAATTCTTACAACACTTTCGCTATTATTTACTGGGCAAACCCTTTCGTGTGCGCACGGATCACCGTGCATTACAGTGGCTCCGCTCTTTCCGCGAACCAGAAGGGCAAGTAGCACGCTGGCAAGAACGGCTACAAGAGTTTAACTTCACATGCGAGTATCGACCTGGAAACCGACATACAAACGCGGATGCCCTTTCTCGAATACCCCAGACCACAAATAATGTTAACACAATTCTGAGTACAGCGCTAGAGACTGATTGGCCCCCCCTACAAGCAACAGATCCAGACCTGCAGATTATTTACCAAAGACAGTTACACGGGAACAATAAGCCATCCTGGAAGGAGTTAAAAGATCAAACCCTAACAACGCGTCGTATTTGCACCAAATGGAGTAACCTAAAACTGTATGGGGACACGTTATTTCTAATTAATGAATCGAAACAACCCCTGCTGATAGTACCGCGAGTCAAAGTCGAGAGCATTGTGGAGCAGGTACATCGCGAACTTGGTCATACGGGAGAACGAAGGACGGAACACGCTGTCCGTCAACGATTTTGGTGGCCATCTATACATGAAGATGTAGCGCGATTTTGCAAGAATTGTAACACGTGTTGCCGTTTTAAATCACCTCAGCAGACACCCCGTGCACCAATGACACCGATGGTGACAACAGGACCACATCAGAGGGTCGGCATAGATATCATGGGACCATTGACAACGACAAAGAACGGGAATCGCTACATACTAGTTATGGTGGATTGTTTCACTAAATAGTGTGAAGCAGTACCCACTCCACAGCAAGACGCCCTTACTGTCGCCCGAGCTTTTATCGATCATTGGGTCTCTCGTTATGGTGCACCAGTCTCACTTCATTTCGATCAAGGTCCAGCCTTTGAAAGTCAACTCATCGCTGAGATATGCCGGCTATTGGGAATCAGGAAGACACGCACCCAGAGGGTAACGGCCTCGTGGAAAGAACGAACAGGACTATTAAAGCCATCTTACAGTCGTTTGTCAGCAGATCGTCACCTGAGTTATGGGATAATGTGCTCCCTCAATGCCTTTTAGCGTATCGTACGTCGGTACACGGTTCCACGGGATTCTCACCTGCTATGTTACTGTTCGGGCACGAATTACGCTTACCAGTAGAGATACAGTCGCCCCTATTACCTTACGAGGAACAAGAGCATGTACCGTACATACGTACTCTCCGCAACCGCTTAGCTGATGCATACCGTCTGGTCAGTATCAACTCGCGTAAGGCTAGCGAACACCAAAAAGGGCGTGGGTTCGAATCCCACCTCCATCACCAGTTGTAACTAGTGTATTCAGCAGTCACTGGAGCGAGCGGGATGATCTAAAACCACAAACACACAATGTTAACTGAGCACTTCACAACACAGGGAGAACACGGAATGGAACCACCAGTGATTTATTTTTAAAAATTAAAATCCGCGGGGATGTACAGAAAAAGGAGGTTTAGTTTACCAAACAGTCTTATGCGTCATTCTGCAGGCTCAGTGCATGCAAGGCTTGTTCTTCCTCTTCTAAAGCATTTACTCTCGATCGTCCTGCAATAGAAGGAAAACAGAATCCATTAACACAATATACATAATGATTTTGACACTGTTACAGACCTGTAACGAAGCTATAATTATCATGGTGATGTTGCTAACCTGTTCTGTTTTCTTTCTATTTCAGGGCGACCAAACATAAACGCCTTGGAAGCTGAGGAACAAGCCCTGAGTGCTCTGAACTTACACGATGACTTATAAGACTTTGGTACACTAACCCCCCTTCTCCTGTAAGAACCCCCGCGAAAAATTTAATTTGAAAAATAAAGAGTGCTGTGACCGTACTTCGTGTTCTCTCTTGGTGTGAAGTGTTGAGCTAACCCGGTGTGTTGCAATTTTAGATCTGATCCGTTGTTCATTAACTGCTGATTACCCGTGCTACATTTTTGGTGATAGAGGTTCCTATTGAAAAACTCAAATCAAAACCAGAGGAACCCCCGGTGCTGCCAGTTAAGGCAACAACTACCGCAAGTCCTCGCCAGCCACCACCTTTGGAAACGTCGTCAGATTATGCTGTCTGGAAATTTAGAGTACAAGCATATTTGCGCAAGGTACCCGCTTTCGAACATTTCGACTACATTGTATCGTTCCTCAGTGACGAGGCTGTTAAACGAGCAACAGCTTATGGGTTCTCAACAAATAATTCTCGATCTAAAAACTGGAATATACTAGATGAGTGTTTCTCATTACCTGTGGACAATCAACAGCTGACTATCCAATTTTTGTCACGTCAGCAATCGGCCGGTGAAAACCCTATCGAATACTTGGATCCCTTACAACAAATTGCGGTAAAAGCGTTCCATGAACTGGATGTCGACAAAAGAGACGATTTGGTAAGCTCCCGTTTCGTAGAAGGGCTCGTGCACAACCCCCTAAGAGAACAACTACTTCGAATGCCAGCAGCAAATACCACCCAACTGAAGAAGACCGTCCTCAGATTTATGACAGCAGATAGATTGTCCCGCCCACCAGAAGCTCCACCACATTCACTGATGACAGTAGGGCATAATATAGAACCGAGGCAGGTAGATAATCTTCCGAAAGCAACAGCGATTTCACACATTCCCAGCCAGACTATTAGCCGTGGGGCATCAAACTCGACATGGAACAAACGACCACCATATAATAGTTACCACAGTCGTCAACCAAGATGTATGTATTGCAGGCGGTTTGGCAGGCGTGCCTGGAGATGTGGACACAACCGACCTCGTAATCCAGGTGAGCCACATATTTATCACTTATCTTCATGTCATGTTAATCACATCAGCCCCACCACCCTCAAAGGTAGAGTACAAGGTGTGGAGATTGACATATTGCTAGACACTGGAGCCTCCGTATCCCTGATTAAGGAAGCGTTCTTAAAGAGACTACACCATAAAGTACAGCAAAAACGATGCTCCTCAGCATTAATAACAGCTAGTGGGGACCCTCTTAAAGTGTGTTATAAGACAGAGTTAGACTTAACAATGGAGAGATGTTCGGTTCGCCATGAGTTTTTAGTTTGCCCTACATTAACCTGGGACATGATATTGGGCGTAGATTTTATGTTAAAACACCAAGTATCTATATTTATGGATAGATCAGAAGCTAAAATCGGCGAGGTTACGGTACGCTTACACCAGTATGCAGGGACAAGCAAGCCTGTAACTCACATTGGAATTTTAGAGCTGGTACGTCAGGTAGAGAGCAACCAAATAATACAGGGAATTGACCGTCGTGCAACGGTGGCTGTGCTCCGACAGTTTAGTTCGGTGTTCGAGGAAAGCATCTCTAGAAATCGTACGAATACAGTGCAACACTCTATTTTCACAGGGGATCACATGGCAATCCGACAGCCACCTCGTAGAGTACCCGTACACTACCGACCACAACTAGAGTCGATGATAAAGGATATGTTAGACAACAGGTGCGAAGCCGTACCCATTCCGCAGCAAGACGCCCTAACGGTCGCACGCGCTTTCATTGACCATCGGGTTTCCCGTTATGGCGCCCCACTCTCACTCCACTCCGACCGGGGCACGGCCTTCGAAAGTCATCTCATTACTGAAATTTGCAAGTTGCTCGGAATAAGGAAGACGCATGCTACCGCATACCATCCTGAAGGTAACGGCCTAGTAGAAAGGACAAATAGAACCATTAAAGCTATTTTACAATCGTTCATCAGTAGATCGTCATCCGAGTTGTGGGATGAGGTGCTTCCTCAATGTATGCTCGCTTATCGAACATCGGTACATGGGTCTACGGGATTCTCGCCTGCTATTTTACTATTCGGACATGAACTACGCCTTCCAGTAGAGATTCAGTCGCCTCTGCTACCGTACGAAGAACAAGAATACATACCGTACATCCGTACTCTCCGTAACCGCCTGGCTGATGCGTACCGCTTAGTTAACATCAACTCGCGCAAGGCTACTAACCGTCAAAAAGAGGTGTACGATCGCCAGATGCAAGGACCAGTATATAAAGTCGGAGACCGTGTCTGGCTACGCCACCCCATGACATCAATAAGGAGTTATAGTAAATTTCACCAGCTTTGGCACGGCCCCTTCGAAATCGTCCTCATCCGTTCCCCCACGACTGTTGTGTTACGTAACCCGCAACGACCTCAGGACGACGTAATAACGGTGCACTACAATCAAATAAAGCCAGATCGGATGACAGTACCTACTGATGCTCAGTTCACAAATCCACCACCCGCTACTAGTTTTTACGATACCGGCTGAAGGAGGAGCAGCATATCCTTGTCCGATTCCAGGCACTGAGGACAGTGCCTCATTAGGAGAGGGGGTGGTGTAACGAAGCTATAATTATCATGGTGATGTTGCTAACCTGTTCTGTTTTCTTTCTATTTCAGGGCGACCAAACATAAACGCCTTGGAAGCTGAGGAACAAGCCCTGAGTGCTCTGAACTTACACGATGACTTATAAGACTTTGGTACACTAACCCCCCTTCTCCTGTAAGAACCCCCGCGAAAAATTTAATTTGAAAAATAAAGAGTGCTGTGACCGTACTTCGTGTTCTCTCTTGGTGTGAAGTGTTGAGCTAACCCGGTGTGTTGCAATTTTAGATCTGATCCGTTGTTCATTAACTGCTGATTACCCGTGCTACAGACCTATTCACTAATAGTCTGGTTTCTCCTATGAACAGCACGAGGGTTTCCAATAGGCACGAAACTGGTGAGCTCTGTGAAACACAAACTTGATTTCATTTTCGATTATTAATTTAATTTTTTTCGCTTGATTGTAAAAGTAGACTTACTGTTTATCCGTAAACTAAGTTAGGCATATATATTTATACGTAGTTTTTTATTGTCTTAAGGTATTCGTGCTCTAGTAATCATTTTTTGTACTACGTTTATTACTATATTGGTCATACACCTCATTTCAGACTCAATACAAACTCCGAACCTGGAGGATTTGTCACCAGTGGACATAGACACTGTTATGACTACGAAATTCCGACTTCCAGAATTTGATCGTAGTGATCCTGATTTGTGGTTTGCTCAACTAGAGCATTATTTCACGAGACACTATCAAATCTGAAGGGATTTGCTATAAAGACTTGTGTTCTATCCTTCCTACTTCAGTCGCCGAAGAACTCCCTGACTTGATTTTAAGCCCACCATCACCACAACCATACACCATCTTAAAACCAGAGGTCATGAACCGTTTATCATTTGTAGCGTGGTGTCGAGTTGAGCTGAACTATGAACACCGCTACCAGACTACTTGCCAATAGACCAATAAAATTCCGATAGGCCAAAATATCAGAAGGCAGATGATTGTAGTAGTCGTATATATTTGTTGGCGATCTCGTGGTATCGAAAGAATACCGAGATCGTGCCAAAGGAGTACAAGCGTGGTTACTGAGCGTAACCGGATTCGTACAAGTTCGAAGTCAACGGGAGAGTAAGTATAATGGCTGTCATTAGCACAGTTAAACAAACGAGCACAGTAAAACAGTCACTGGTACAATTGGTTATAATAATAATTGTTTTCATCGAACCAATCGCGTTCTGTTGACAAAAGTAGGTCACTACACATTATCAAGCAGTCAAAGAATCTAAAGGCTTTTCCAAAGAGAAATATTAGGTGATAGGTCGCCGTCACAGATTTTACGTCACCTTCAAATCTTAGTGAGTGATAACACAGTGAGTGAAGCAGTCCTAAAGCAAGGATAGATAAAAGCTCTCCCATGCTATGTCCAACAATGTTTGGATGCTTAAGCTCCTGAAACCTTATCTCATTTAGCGCGTATAGCCGATAGGATAATGAAAAGGGGTCGTCCAACTGGATCACACACAAAAAGAACCAGCAAAAGACCCAGTCATAGAAGGACTCATCGCGAGTGTTTAATGTCTCACTGAGGCTGTCGCCAGAATGCAACTGGGTCATAGAAGCAGGAGCAGGTCACCACAACGGCTAAGACCCAAGTCACAAAACAGGTTACAAATGTCCAGACAATCTGGGCAGTTCTGTTGGTATCACTGGGAGTTTGATGTCAACTCAACCAAGTGCATGCAACCAGGCGCCTGGCCTAAGCAAAATCCCATGAATGCGGGAAACGAGTAACCCTTCCCCAGGTCGCGACTGAGGAGGGGCGCCTAAACAGTCGCTTGTTTTATGTTAGAGACAGAAACTCTAGCTTGGACTTCTTGGTAGATACTGACGCTGGCGTTACTGACCAGCAAACATGATGGTGGGGAGATAACTTCAATCCACCCATGTCTGTAGGGCAGAACATTTTGTTAAATTACGGCTCCTTATGGTCTAGAGGAATGTCACGAACTAGTAGTATTGATGCTGATTTATCGTGCTAAATACTTCATTAAATCGTGTTTAGAACATTGAATTGGTTTCACTTCGTACCCAGTAATCCTATTACAAGCAAACTAGACAATTCGGTAAAACTATTTTATGGACGACCTTTGAACGTATGCTTAACTGACCTTGAGAACATTAGCCAATCAGAAGAGAGTTAGTATAGAGTAAAAATATATTATAAAAAACTGATGAATTTTAATGGATATTCTCCTTTTACATGATTTAAGAACTTGTTAAAGTTTGATAAAGGTTCAGGAGTTTTGAAATCATAATGCATGCGGTATAGGAACTCGTTCATATGATTCCAAAATAATCGTCCCCTGGAGCCGTGGGAGGGTCATAAAAAATAATTCAGCCTAGACCACTTGCCTTCAATATTGTTTGTATGAACCCCCGTCGTCGGATCGACATAATGACGTTTGTGCACTACAACATGATGCACAAAACCATGTCTTGAGAGGCATCTATAAGCTTTAATAATAATAATAATAATTTGCACTCAAATAACAGTTTGTTACATGAGACATGTCAGTTTAAAAACGATTCAATTTCCAACTGTAGTAAATTACTCAGCTGGGTCGATAATTTATAAGATATGAGTGTAGATAGTTTTAGTCAATATCACAATTGACGCGCTTCGTGAAAGTTGCGTTGCGACGTGCAACTGATGGTGGATAATAGATTAATGTGAAGTTGGGGGCTTCTAGAAATCGCAATCTTATATCCCTTTGGAATATTTGAGGCTTTAAGGATGGTGCAGAACGCGGTCACCCGTTGTGTATCTCAAGGGGGCTGAAAAATGGTGCAAGAAAAAAGATAACAAAAAAGCACGAGAAGCAGAGCAGACAATGTTCATGGAGAAATAGTTAAGGTATGACTACCCATTCTCTTTTATTAAAGTATTTAGTAAGCAGAAGCATCCTAATAAGTTAAAGAAATAAGTGTAGACAAGATATGAGTGGATAAACAACTGACAAGTGGAGGTGGTTCAAAAAGAAGCTGAGCGTACGGGAATATGTATAGTCGTAAAATATACTGCTAAAAACAGTGTTACGATACACAAATGGCTGTCTCTCTTTTTTGTCGACGCTATTGGAGCATTTTTTAGATTTTATAGGGTCTTGATTAGGCCTTGTTTTTCAGCGAATTGTCTAGTTTGCTTGTAATAGGATTACTGGGTACGAAGTGAAACCAATTCAATGTTCTAAACACGATTTAATGAAGTATTTAGCACGATAAATCAGCATCAATACTACTAGTTCGTGACATTCCTCTAGACCATAAGGAGCCGTAATTTAACAAAATGTTCTGCCCTACAGACATGGGTGGATTGAAGTTATCTCCCCACCATCATGTTTGCTGGTCAGTAACGCCACCCTTCCTTCTTTTGTGATGTTAGGCTCTTTCACGTTTGTGGTAAGTATGCATACTGCTTTAATCAAAGCTCATGGTTGGAATACACTGCCTCTACTAGTTCCATGTTACAAGCGAATCAGATAGTTAAAGCGTTTGCATTGTGGGTTAGAAGTCCATTTAGTATGTCACACTGCTACGAAGATAACTAATGGAGAAATTTAAAAAACAGGCTAGATTATATGCGGATTGAAGATAGTAATGACTAATAGCAAATCAAATCATATGAAAGAGTATAAAATTGTAAAATTTTTAGGGTAAGAAAAATAAAACATGGAACAACTCACAAGACTTTATGATCAATTTTGAGCTTCGTATGATCAGTCATAGTAGATCAGCATCCACAAGATTGCTGAGTTATCTGTCTACTTGCAAGAGAAAGAAAGAGACATGACACTTAGGAAGAAAAATGTATATTTAACCAGTAGAGAGATTTGGGAACTGAAAGTGAGGGCTAGGAGCATAAGGCCATGATTAATAAACAATGAATAACAGGGAAGGTTAAACCGTATGTTCCAAAATTTAGTTGTATTCATATTAGTAACAGTCGGGCTCGTTATATTCTTGTTCCGTCTAGATATTAGGCAGTCCATTATAAAGTGCTTCATTGGTGGACGGAAGTTCAAGGAAAGATTGAAGCTCTTTTGAGTCTAGAAACAGGGTTATTAGCCTCTTGAATCTGGTAAATGTGTCACAGTTATGGATAGGCATTGGCAACCTGTTCCACAATAAATTATACCGTACTGTGAAAAAACTTACAACGCATTTGTTTTTGGTGTTTTACGGTAAGTAGTGTATATGGGTTGTTTCTTAGTCTATAGGCTGGGTCGTGAATCATAGTTGGACAGGAGGTTGGAAATGTGAGTCCATATATCTCTTTGTAGAGAAATATTGAATTATTCTTTAGCCTACGGTGCCATAAAGGTTCTAAAGAGAGATGCTTACATCTATCTGTGCAGTCGGCATTCGAGTTACTTCCTAGCAGTTGGCGTGTGAAGCGTTTTTGAACGTCTTCTACTCTTATCTTGTCGGTGGTATTCATATTAGAGATCATAAAACAGCAGTATTCCAGGGAAGGTTGTACACATATTTTATAGAGAGTAAGCTTAGCCTCTGTTGTGAAGAAATTTCTCATTATGAAACCAATTTGCTAATATCATAGTAGACCGAAATCATACATTGGTAAGCCCGACTAAAGAAATGCAACCTATTATTATTTTTTCTCTTCTTCACTTGATATTTATCGATCGATATTTACTTTTGTAAATCCATTATTCTAATAGTCCTATGATTAATGGTCATGTGTATTATCGTAATGTTATATTGATTAGTTCTCATAACTTACTAGCTCAATCAATAATAAAAACTGGTCATCTACATTAACTAATTAGCTTTTGATGGTTCGTTAACAAGCTTTAGTAGCATTTACATGCTTCAGCGAAATAAACTTATTTTAACATCAAGCTCTAGCAAATATGACCTGCAAATAACCTCAATATACATTGACTAACCATGCAATCAAGGACTAAATAGTTATCTGGATCTAATTCTTAATGTTCCTTCACTTAACACATTCTGTCTTAAACTATGCACTATCCTGTAATATTTTTTTTCCGACCACTGCCTGCCTAATTTCATATTCTCGAGTTCCATTGCCAAACAACAAGGATGACACTACTGCAAAAACATACGGTGAGTTTCAGGTATAAGTTTTCTGCAATCATAAGCTCATTTTAGATGGTTCGTTCAATGGCAACAACACAATTATCTGAATTTATTCAATTGTTCTGATCCGAGCAAGTGACAAAAACGTCAGCGGCACCAAGGATCTTGGAATTAATTACCATACTGCATGCTTTTGGATCATTACTTCTCACGAATGGCGTTACATCTATCGTCTACTGAATAATCCAATTTTCAAAAATAATCCAGGCGAGTTTAACTATTTTACTGGATGTTTTTTTTGTACTTAACATCATATATTTTCCAGTTGCTTTTGCTACATATTTGTAAGTGCCACTATGCTAACTACAGGAACCTCTTATGGGAAGTTTATAACGCATCATAATCCTGCCTGAAGTTTCATAAGCAGTCTTAACTTTAAAATTATTTTTCTGGCAATGTTTACTATTTTTAAAATTGTCATATACATCAATAACCTGCATGTTAAATTACCCCGTAATGCGTTGTATTATATCTCCATGCCTTTTGAATTCGAAAGTCATTTGAATCGCCTTAAGCATTTCTCACCAAACCCATCATAGTCATTCTTGTTATACTTATTTGGGTTTTTCAATCGGTCTACCATATTAGTAACATAAAAAGACAAACATAGTTTAGATAATCAAGTTACAAATTTGAGTACTAGCATACTGCCTTAGTATGATAGCTAAACTATCAGGTGGTTGTTGGCTAAACAAACATTTAAAATTAAAACTCCGGAACCTATTACTAAAATTAGCACTAGATGTATATTCTTGAATTGAAATTTATAATAAAATTAGGCGGCTCGCTTTCTTCAACGCTACAAATTTCTGATAATTTAAAATCATTTAAAGCAACAATACCTATTTTTCCACCGGCTAATCCTCAATCAACACTATAATTAGTTAGACAATGGTTTCAGGATATCATTATAAAGCATTGTCATGACTTGACAATCACGTAATATGATTGAT